TTAAAGTCTTTAATAGTAAGTTTGAGCTATAGTGGCTTCCAAAATTGTAACACGAATGAATGAGCATGAGAACATGAATTTGAAATCCAGTACACACCTCTATCGGTAATAACCTGCACTCTAGTTATCGAAAAATCCTAAAAATGAGATAGACAGGGCTTAAAATATTTTTTTCCCTTTAACCTAACCATAAGCTATATAAAGTTTGGACAATAGAACACCATAGCGAACAAAAATTCCTTTGTTTCTCGTCTGAAAATTAATTTATCAGCCTTAAACTAACTTTTTATGAGTGGCGGACCATTATTTCTAAAAGTATTTGAAGATTTTCGACATGTCGAAAGCCTTATATCCCAATCCTGCGCAGATGTTGATGTAATCACCATTTACAAAGATAAGGAAATAAGAACTGACCCAGCTAACTACCATACTGTTTCCCTTCTTGCTCATCCCTGATGGCCTGGAAAAGCTTAATTTAGAAACGGGAAAGTGAGATTATTTAGTGTGCAAATGAATTTTTCTCCAGTGGATGGTTGTTGAAATGACCTATGCAACAAGAGGTTAACCAAGAAATTAAATGACAGCATGCCACCACAATTTCAATGTTTACGTGACAAGGAATAGTTGAAACATTATGGCAGGAACCTGCACCAAAGATAGCTTTTTCGAGTTCAAAAGTAGTAATGTATTGATTCTCCACCTACCCAAAATCTGTGTCACATTATTTTTTCTCAATGTCAATTCCATGACAAAGGGTTTTGCCTTGAAGAAAATGAAAAAGTCCGATGTCGAGCAGTATGAGATGACTAATATGTATGCTAAATGGACAGTCTGTTGACACAAGTAGTACACAAATCGTCAAAAATTTGCCCATGAGTTTCTATGTGGCGACCAGCCCCTCCATTCCAATTCTGAAGATGCAAAATTCTGCCTCTTTACAAGCAAATAAAACTAGGCGATTTGTCTCAGTCACCAGCAAATCCATCTCACAACCTTAAACCCTGGGTTAACCAATGGAAGTATGACAGTTACTGGTTAAGTCCTTCTTGTTGATACAACGATCAGCTCCAGTTCATATACATGAACAGAGTTAAGTGACCTCAATACTCGAAAAACCCTTCGATTGGCTGTTTTCCAAGGTATTTAAGTGCCTATTTTTATGAGCCAAGTCCACTTGAAGGCAGTTGCAGTGTCTCGTTCAAAGGTTAATTACGGTAAGGGGAACTGGTTATTAGGTGCTTAACACATCCATATGCAATAAACTTTGAGTACTGAATGCCCTTTAATATATAGATTGTTTTTCTTGAAAATTGAGCGAATAATGAGCTTAAATAGATAATGGTTAAACCCTTTTTTTATATTTAACAAATGATTGTACGTTATTTTGTCAATATTTATTACTTTATACAGTGTTTTTTTCTTTTTCTCTTCAGGTGGAATGAGGTGCATTACTCTTGAGGACTTGCCCCTCTCGTTGACGATTTTAATCTACTACTTCCGTTACCTCTTCGTCTTTCTCTACCCGGTGGCCTTACTGCCTTTGGTTCTCATAGTTACAAATAATGCAAGTTTATGGAGTAACACTAACTACATACACTTTTATATTAGGTGGGGGCATTGTACTGAATGCTTAAAAGCCTAAATGAGTGGGTTGAGGTAGAAATCTACTGATAATTTAAGTTAATTAGAATACTAGTTTGAGATTGTTGAAAATGGTATGCGATTTTTGGAAAATGGAATCTCCAACAGCTGTCAAAATTGGCAGAGAGGAAGGGTTGACAAGCTTTTCTTCAACGGAAATTCAATTATTAATTTACTCAATTACATTTATGCTGCGATAGGGTTAACGCAATATTTTGTACAAGATAGCAAATTTGCTCAAGCACCCAACTTGATCGCAACGTTAATATTTCTATAAGTCTCCTATTAAGGGACACATTAGACCCTTTATCCAATTATATTTATTTATATCAAATGTCAGGCGTCTTGATGGTTATCATTAGCCCTTTAGTTGACTTGAGGCTTCACAGATTGGAAGGTACATCAAATTGAAAAAAGTCTAGGGGGAGGGGGAACAGAAGAGTGTTTCAAAGATGTAAAAGAGATAGACCCAGAGGTAGAATAAAGGTGAGGTGAGTACTGTGGAAGTAGTCATATACGATGTACAGTGGGGAATAACGAGTACTGTGGAAGTAGTCGAATATGACATACAGTTGAGTACTCTGGAAGTAGTCGAATATGACATACAGTGGGGTGATTGGTAGTTTGAAGTGAGAAGTCAACTGCCGGTTGATAGACGTAGTTTGAAGTCAGAAGTCAACTGCCGGTTGATAGACTTGATGGTAATTGAAGTCAGAAGTCAACTGCCGATTAATAGACTTGGGGTCATGATAGTTTGAACTCAGAAGTCAACTGCCAGTTAATAGACTTACTCATGGTAGTTTGAAGTCAACTGCCAGGTAATAGACTTTAGTTTGAAGTGAGAAGTCAACTGCCGATTGATAGACTTTTATTTGAAGTCAGAAGTCAACTGCCAGTTAATAGACCTTTTCAGTCAGAAGTCAACTGCCGGTTTATAGACTTTTTTGCCGTTTGAGTAGTCAGAAGTCAACTGCCGGTTAATAGACTTTTTTGTGAAGTGAGAAGTCAACTGCCAGTTAATAGACCTTTTTGCGTTGAAGTCAGAAGTCAACTGCCGGTTAATAGAATTTTTTTGCCGATAGTTTGAAGTCAACTGCCGGTTTATAGACTTCGAATATGACATAGAGAAGTCAACTGCCAGTTTATAGACTTTTTTGCCGTATGAGTATACGTTGCCCAGGGTGCACCACGTAGAGGTAAGTCTATCGCACACCCCTCATCCAATAATATAAAGGACCAATGAGTGATTTGATCATAAAAATGTTCTCTGAATACTCTCCAGCTTTCAAAACCCCCAAACTATTGTAAAATTTCAACTTATAAGCACGGAGATTACAAATCTATTTGTGTAAAACTCCCATTAACCAGAACGACAACGATTTTAGATCACAAAAAGTGCCTACATTCTGATATGGATGGGTGGATATTGGATAACTGGAGTAATTCCTCTCTGTGCTACCGCCCTCTTACCGATGCTCGCGGGTCCAATCATGGGTCTTCAAACTTCGGGCACTCTATCAAGAGAGTACCTACCTGTAAGTTGAAGGCTCTAACTACTCGCTTCGGTGTAGCTTGCAAAGCCTCATTATCCACAACTTATTTTCCCACTTTTAAAATGCTACATCATTACTCTGACAAAATTAAAAAATTTTAATTGTATAAATGTTTTCAAGAAGTGTACTCTTTGTTTTTACCCGAAGTATCCTTGACAATTAACATATGGTTAGAAATAATTTCTAATCTGATAGTTTGGAAACAACTCTAAAGCTGACTGAACTATTATCCTTTCAGTATTAAATCCCCAAAATCACCCGCCTTTTCTAAACAATTCTTTGTAGATGTCCAATTTCCTGTTCATTTCGAGTATGTTCCTTGCTGGGGCAGCTGAACACTCCAATTTGCATAGAAGAATTGTGATGCTATGTCTCAAATGTATGGGAGGAGATCCAAGACTGTAAGTTTCATTCATCATATTCTCTCTCTCGCTCTCTCGCTCTCTCGCTCTCTCTTTTGCACTAAATCATTTCTTATCACAAATATAAGGGCAAATAAAATATCTCTTAAAGTTGCAAAATGGGTCTAATGAGGCGTGAAATGTGAAGTGGGCATGGAGTGCAATTGAGAAGTAGGTGGTGAATTCAACGGGATTGGGAGCATGACTTTGTCCATATTTTCAGCTGAGGAGGTGTCGTGTTATTCAATCTTCATAATTTAATCTCAACCCAGAGGGTTGAGACCTCATTAACTGTTCAGTCATACCACACTTGTTTATTTGCATCATTATATAAAAAAGAGCGGGAAATCGAGAGACCGAGAATGATAAATTTAACACGACACCTCACTACAGTTAATTCATGTAAGAAGATGCCAGATATTTATATCATGGAATTAATTAACGGCTAAATGGTCTCTATATGGGTTTGGTGAGAAGTGGACATTATAGAAATAATGAAGGGAAAAAATAGTTGCATAAACAGGGTGTAACTTCATCTGAATTAGGGTTTTATAATCCATTAGACTGCAATCTTTTAAGTTACGAGTTAGGTAGGTGAACATCATAATTTGGAAGTCATTTTACCTCACTTGTATTCGAGAAATTTCAAGTGCTAAGTAAATACCACAATCACATCAGTCAAATAGGCTCAGAGTTCAAGTAGTAATTAATCTTTGTGGGTACCAAAAAAGAGAGAGATTTTAACTTGACTCCTCAATGCAAAATATTTC